TTTTCATCACTGGTAGGCCTGTTGTCAACTAGGCTGTCTTCATCATGACCAGCCAACCATGGTACTTGCAGGTAAACATATCCAGCTGCCATTCTCAGGTGTTGTATCTTTAACTTAGCCATTGCAAAATTTGTGTCCCCCGTTTGCTGCATCCCCCACCCCAAGGTCGGCAACGTTTCATTAATAGACAGAAGCCATTGGCCGTGATTTAGAGACTGTAAACCATTTGGGGAAACTTTATGCTTCAAAGCGATGCAGCTTCCTTTGAATGTGCCCTCCCTAGTAAGCATTTGGCTCAATGTGAGATTTAATATGAAACAAAAATCCAGAATTAGATATTAGGAAGTTAACAGGCGCTCCTCTCCCTGCTGTGCCTCTTTCCCTAATTGTGTCAAAATGTCGAAGCAGAATCCTGGACTATTTTTGTATTTCAGTTCAGACAACTGAGAGAATTTTTAATGCACTGCTCTGAGCTTATTGCACATCCATTCCCAAACAGCAAAACGGTATATTTATAGCTTATTTCACAGCTTTTGATTTCTATTACTGTTATTGTATTTTAGCAGACCTTTATAATTTATTAGGATTATTAAGAACTGCTGTACATTCAATCAGGTCATTACTCCATCTCATCCAGTCCTGTCAACTGTGATTGACAGTGGTTCTCTAGAGTTTAAGACAGGATTGCTCTCTATCCCTGCTGGTAGGTACTCTTTGGCCATCTCCCAGCCAAGTACTAACTGAGCAGCCAAAACTGGACAAGCTCATGTGCATACAGGACAGTGTAGTGTTTACGAAGCCTGATGCTCTACTATGGTGGTTATTTGTAATTACTGGTTTTAATCTTTTTTCTTTTTTTTTTGGTAGATTGTCGCTAGCTATTTTCAGCTTCTGTAAGAATGTGGAAGGGGAAATAATAAGAATAGCATTCTTCTGATATTTAAGTGCCTACATGACAGGAACTGCCATCTTCTACCATATGGACCTGCCTTGGGCTTTAAGAACAATGAAGATGCTCTGTTGCTACTGCTAGACCTGAAATTCTGATTTTTTTAAAAAATTGGTGCTTTAAAATACACTGTCCAAAGGCGTTCACTAAACATTCCCATTTCTTTTCCATGATAGATGAACTATTTTTTGTTAACTCATCCAGTTACTTGAGAACTAGCTGGAAGTAAACAGATGTTCATTTTCAGTGGCTGGAATCCTGTCGGTGTTTGTGTAAGATTTGTACAACTGGCTGTAGCCAATTGTGATTCAATGGTGAAGTGTCAGTGCCCATCTTGGCTGCACAATTGGGCACATGACCAGTCACATAACTGAGATGTACACTGGTGCCTTGTTAGTTAGCTGCAATTAGCTGCAGAAAGTTACATCAACCTTATACAAACACCAATAGGATTCTGCCCAATTTGTTATAAAGTTTCACAGAAACAACTTTAACCCTTTGGCTTGGAAATTAAGCTGATTTATCGCCTGTGAATCATAATGAGAATATACTGTGATGAGAATTGGAGCACTTTACAGCGCATTGCTGTACATGCTTTATAGGGACTTTGCATCTCTTCTCTCCTAGCCTTCCTTAATATGCTGACCTCCAGGTAGCTTTGGATAGGTGTTACAATCTGATACCTCTGTAGGGCAGCAGCTTAGGAAGATGGCTCTATCAGCAGACCCGGAGACTCAGAAAACAGTGTACTGTGTTAAGATGTTAACATCCACTGTATTTGTGACTCTGGCTACCATTCAGGGCAGACCTACTTGGAAGGATTCCCATTTAGACACAGTGAGAAATACGTCTGAGCACAATGAGAGGATATAATATTCCATGTGACTGACATTTTTGCCCCTAGTCTTTCTGTCAGGTCTTCTAAAGCAATATACAGCTGTTGTTTTTAATGTCTCAAGTGCAAAATGCAGTGGTCAGATTGGTCATGGATTGAACTTTGACCACAATCTGCTTCTCCTGGCCCATTTTCACTGGCTGCTGGCATGCTTCCGGACCACATTCAAAAGCAAAAGCAAAGCAAAGCAAAGAAAACAAAACAAAACAAAAAACCCTCTATGGTTTAGGACCTCACTACCTGACAGAGTGCCCCCCTCTCTCTCAGGTCAACCTCCCATCCCACCTGCATGTCCCAATCATTGATGTTGTAAATCACCACTCCGAAGGAGGCCTGGAAGCCATCAAGTAGAAACTAGGCCTTCTCGGCAGTAGCTGCCTCACTATGGAACTCCCTTCTGGTGGAGGTGTAACAGCCTTCCCCGCCCCCCCATAGCTTCAGGGAACAAATGAAGGTTCACCCAGGCCTTTGAAAGCCTTACCCCTTTTTAAAACCTTCTGGTGGAGGTGTAACAGCCTTCCCCCCACCCCCACCCCCAATAGCTTCAGGGAACAAATGAAAGTTCACCCAGGCCTTTGAAAGCCTTACTCCTTTTTAAATTTTTAATTCTGAGTTAATTTTGTGATGGTCCTATGATGATACCACCAATTAAATGAACGAATGAATGAATGAATGATACCGCTTCCTGCTGAATCAGCTGTTTTTAGCTTTGCCATCTTGAGAGTTATGTGATGTCTCTTAGACATTGGGAAGTTGTGGGGTTTTTTTGTATGTTTATGTTTTTAATCTTTGTTTTGTACCTCTATATTTCCTCTGTGGCTGTCCATAGTAGTGGCTGGCCACTAGATGGGTGGGGTATAAATTCAATCCATTAGTCAATAAGTGGACTTTTCCATAGCAGTGCCCCAGAACTTCAGGACCCTCTTACAAAGAGGTCTACCTGGTACCCACACTGTTATTCTTTAGATACCAGGTCAAGTATTTTCTGCTTCTTGCTCTAAGGAGAAACCTAAAACCGCCACACGACCTGCTACCAGCTACAGCCTTCTTCAAATGTGCAGGCACTCCTTTCAATACCCTCTCAGCACATCACACGGGCACGACAGCTTCAACATCCAAAATCATCCTGAGGGCCCTCCTCCTTTTCATGTCATCCTTGCTGAAGGGCAGCTTCAACATCCAAAATCATCCTGAGGGTCCTCCTCCTTTTCATGTCATCCTTGCTAAAGGGATATACAGTGGTGCCTCGCGTTACGTTAATTTGTTCCAGCGAAATCGCTGTAAAACGAAAACGTCACAATGCGATTTTAAAAAGCCCATAGAAATGCATTAAAACCCGATTAATGCGTTCCTAGGGGCTTGAAACTCACCACCCAGTGATCCTCTATAGTGCGGCCATTTTCGCTGCCTGTGCAGCAAGGAATCCGTCCCAGAAAACAGCGGGCGGCCATTTTGTTTACCCAGCGGCCATTTTTAAACCGCTGATCAGCTGGCCGAAAATCATCGCTTTGCGATGATCGGTTCCTGAAGCAGGGAACCGGTCATTGCAAAGCCAAATTCCCCCATAGGGAACATCGTTTTGCGATCACAAAAACATCGTCTAGCGATTTCGTCGTCAAACGGAGCACCCGTTAAGCAAGGCACCACTGTACCTGGAAATGTGGCGCCTTGCACTCTTTTATTACCTTAATAAATGTGTCACCCAGTGCGTTAGTGGACAGAGTGACAAACAAGGACCCAGAAGGCCAAAATTCAAATTCCCTGCTCAATCAGGGAAACTCACCGAGAGAGTAATACCATTCTTTCATTACCTCACTTACCTTGAAAGCCCCATTAAGGGTTGCTATAAGTCAGTTCTGACTTGATGGCACATAACAACAAAAAACAATAAATGTGTTACAATAGATGAATTTTTAAAACAACCCAACATTTTAAAATGTGTCTCAGTTTATTCTAGTCATCTTGACTGCTGTTTTTATCTTTGGATTTATCGCACAGCATTGTTTGTCTCTGTTTTTGTGCTAAGTACAGTGGCATTTAAATAAAAAAGTATATTCCAAAATAGACATGGGAGATTTGTCTTCATCTCCTTGGGGGAGATGAAGATAGATCTTGCTGGCACAGGTGGCCGGTGTGATTAATGCCCACCCCCAGAACCCACTGGTCCCCGTTGCGCGGGGCCAGCGTTGTCAACAGTGTCCCAATCGTGGCAGCCGCCGGGTGAGGGGGGTGGGATGATCAGTATCCCTGCTCAGCCACTGAGTGGCCAGCCAAGCAGAGAGGCAGGGCAGCACCAGCCAGGTGACTGCCACAATTGGTGCACCATGCAGCAAGGAGTAAGTTGCACAGTTTTTAATTTGATACTTGGTATATTTCATTGTTCCTACTCCTCTGCTTTCTCAGGAAGAGAAATGGATCTAATTCCCTAATCATCAAAATTGCAAAGAGCAGGGACAGCATCAGTGTGTAGGACAGAACCGTCCCAAGGGAGGCTTCGTGGCTATTGGAACGATGGAATCTTCTTCACTGCAAACCCTCACACCTAATTTTAAAATAAGATCAGGCAAAACTAATCCCACCAACTAGCCTTCTGTGTATACTCTGACATCATAGTGACGTGAGTGATACTGCACAGGCTGTACTTGCAGAGTAAATGCCGATAAGAGTGTTCCCTAATAGACAGCATTTATAATAGCGATTGTCTGGGTGTTTGCCATCTTAATCTATTTGAAGACCCAGGTTGCACATAACGGTGCCCACGCCAGTCTTGATATGTTATCAAGACTACTGACTATGTGATTTTGAATTTTGGCATACTTATATCCCACAGAAGCAGTGAATATCCCCAAAGGCATGAGATTTTTTTTCTACAATTACAAGTATCAGACAGCTTAATACACAGGCAGAAATCACTACGTAACACAAGTTGTTGTGAATACCAGTACAAAAGTAGTGGCAACTCTACTAGCCAAGTTCATACACAAGGGCATTCTTTCGTGATCAGATGTCCAGCCCCATACACTGATTGCACATCTTGACACAAATGACTATGTAGAATATTTGGAGAACATTACTGTTAAAAAGTAATCTAAATCTTATTTTACAATATGAGTCTCAAATTTTGATCTAAAAAACCACAATTCAAACTCATAAGTATTCTAGCGTAATTAAGAATAAAATGAAATACAATTACTTTTATTTAACAAAACCATGAATTCTTTTAGAACACTGCAAATACCCTCTTATTTGCAACATATATCTACAATTCAGATGCTTGATCAGAACTAGGATCACAAGTAGATATTGTTATACAAATGCAACATTGATTTGACAGAATGAAGAAGTGCCGTATCTGCTACTGAGGATTTTGCACTGCTGCTCAACCTCATTTGCCTAATCCAATAGCAATTATTAAGCTTCTATGGCTACAGAATTCTGTGCACTAAGACTACTTCATTGATACTGTATTGTTCAAACTGTTATTAAAAGAGATTTTATAAAGTAGAAATCATTGCCACCACTTCTTTACCTGCTTAGAGAAAACAAAGTAAGATTTTGTTCATTCATCTCCTGCCTTTAATTTCCTGGATTGCAGAGAAATACATAAAAATTAAAACAAAATATTACTTCCCTGTATATAATGGGGAGGGGGGAGGGAGCATCTATGCACAGAATCCTACATTCAGCTACTTTAAATCCTTTTTGTTTCCAGCCTAGCTCAAATGAATTTTGGACACTCTGGGACAATGCAGATCTCCTTTGAGAAGACCTCAACCTGCACCTGGTCTACACAACACTCCTTCCTTGCCCATGAATTTATATCAATATCCATATAAAGTTCTGGAGTCTTAGCTACATACAGCTCAGAGCTCTATTAAGTTTTGGATACAACTTGTCTGATAATACTGAACTCCAGGTCCTTGACTTTTAGATCTTACATGGGTGTGTTGTCCCTGCCCTACCCAATATGTTGTTCTCCAACTTGCAACCAGCTGTCAGACAGCAGCACTGCCTGATGGGGAATGGGGGGTTATAGTTCAGCACTGGTTATTGAAACCTATGCTGAGCTGTGGATGAGGCCATGAACACTAGTTTAGGGGTCCATCTTCTAGTCCCATATTTTAGGCTATGTTGCCAGAGAGTCAGAGAACCCCTGGCCCTCCAGATGTTTTATACCACAAGCTTCATAATCCCTTAATACTGTGATATGCTGTCTGGGACCTCTGTCCCAAACATCTGGACAGACAGATGTTTGCCATCACTGATATATCGTGAAAGCTGCCACAGACCTCAGAGCATGGTATTTAGATTCTTCTGTACAGCTTAGGGATGCTGAACACCCCCACCCCCAATATGTCTGGAAAAGCAGCTGTGATTTTAACAGTGCTGCCACTGCCACAAGTAAGAGGAGCAAGGCACTCTATGGTATGCATTATGAGAGTGTAACAACTCTATAACATATACTTGTTAAACTACTCCCCCAAGGCCTTCTGCTTTATTTCTCCGCTTTGGCATTATAATACAACATACAATGCTAATTCAAAAAACACATGGTCTAGCGCAATGCTGGATGGATATCTTCCAAAATATTCTGTTGAAGAAAACAAAACTCGCTCAACTGCATTTCTAGAGCATGCTCTGCTAATTGCAGTGATTAATTTCCAAAGTAACAATCAAGGCAACAGGTGGAGGAACTATACTTAAATTTTAACATTTCTGATCATAATTAACCCATTATAAACATCAAAAACTTCATACATCAGCATTATACAGCATGTTACTACACATTATTATTGATAAAGCAGAAACCAGCATATCTGATTATTATAGCAGCAAAACCATTAAAATCTTCTGTGCCATGTTATGAGTTCTGAAGCAGCGTTTTCAGCTTTAAAGAAGGCAAAAATATTGCTATAAATTATATATTCTACAAATTCTTTGAGGCATCTCGTGACATCTCTATGCTCCTCTTGACAATATATACCAAGAAAACCCTGCATATATGCACAGTCTTCAATATTACACAATGAACTGTAAAGTAGTTTGAGATGCAGTAGGTCTATGCAGTGGTGATTAAAGTGCAAAACATTTGGTATCAAGTTCTAATGATTGCTGTATCTTGGTTCTATGGATGCCTGGGAACTGAGACTAGATCTCCCATTGATGGCAACAGTATTGGATGGAGGGGCCACCTGAAAGACAAAAGGAATCACACAGTCAGACCTGGCTGCAATTCAAAGCTACCTGTCAGTAGTTGAGACATGCAACTGCTTCAAGACTGATTGATATCTATTGAGAATTATAAATGTATTTGTCACAACCACACTAAAGATGTGGAGAATCTGTTTTCTCTAGTGAGCTAAAGGTTCCAGGACAGGATAAGGACTGGGGGAGGAGGGGGCGGGGGCAGCAGCGGGAGAGCGATTAGAATGCCAACTCTGCCATGTAGTTTGGTGGGCAACCTTAGGGGTGGTATTCTTTCTCATCTTAACCCATCTCAATAGTTCTAGGAAGGGTAAAATGTTTGGTTGGGCTTGTTCCTGTTGGAGCCTGTACGATGGAGCTCCTCAGAAAGGTGGGAAAAAGGTTCAGTTTATTGCACAATAACTGATCAGCCGTTTCTTTCACCAATGCCAACCCCCCCCCAAAATAGAAAGCATATTCAGATAACAATAATTAAATAGAAAGTATGAAAAAAATAAAGTATACAAAACCTAAGTACAATATAACAGCAAATAGCTATTCAATTAACTAATTATCAGGGATAAAATATGTAAATCTTCCTATAGTCTACCTGTCTTCAAAAGGTCACTGCTGCTGTTGTTACATGACCTCAAGTCACTTCCAACTTTTGGCAATCCTATGAATTAATGACCTTGAAAAGGTCCTGTGACACCAACAGTCTTGCTCAGGTCTTGCAAGGCTGTGGTTGAATTTATGAGTCAATCCATTTCATACAGTATTTGGCATTCCAGAACAACTCCAAATGTTGCTCCAAATAAAGCTACATCAACATGAGTGTGAACATGCTGGAAAACACAGCTACCATGGCTGTGGGAATCCATTCTCCATTTTCTTCCCTCGTATTTGATTTATGTTTGGAAGCCATGGTAACACATTATTACAAAACATATTGACGTTTATAATTTTGTGGTTCTCCCAAGTTTGTTTAAAAAAAAAACATTTATAGCACACCCTATATCACAGGATCTAAAGGTGAATTACAGAGCTATATAAAACAATGTAGAACGTACAATGTTTAAAACAATTAAAAATTGAACAATTTAAAACACAAAATTAAAACATTAAAACCATTGCATTAAAACCGATGCAGGCTGTGATCCTCAACCCCCAAAGGCTCTAAAAAAAATTTGAACTTGGTTTAAGAATGATTAAAATGATCATTTATTCTCATGATCCTTCAGTGGGTTACATGTGAACCCCACTTGCCCCCCCCCCCGGCCTTCCTGGCGTTAATGAGGATGATCAGCACCCGAGAGCTATTTGGCTAAGTGGTCAAATCTGAATTAATACCCGTGGGAGACAATACATAATGTAGTTTATTTGCTGACTGACACTTTCCGGGTTCCTGGGTGCTATTATGCAATACACGAACTCATATGGCTCTGCTACACCTGAACAGATCCATTATAGAGATATCTCTGAACTTAAGATGGATGAGCAGTGATAAACTGAAGCAACAGCAATATACTTAAGATGAACATTATCTCTAGGATAACATATGTTTTAAGAGAGATTCCTTCATGTATATTCCTTGCTTTTTCTACATGGAGAATGATGTGTTTGCAGACGGGAGGTTCCTGCTAACATTCGGGCTCTCCAGGTCAACAAGAACTCAGATCTTCCACGGTTCTTGCTCACATGAAGAGCCTACACATGAGCACGAACCACTTCTCTGCAGACATGATACTCTCCACATGAAGAAAGTAATGAGAGGGAGGGGAAGAGCTAAGTCATCCTCTGCTCAAGCGTTAGCCAGAACCAGATCAATAACATGTCTATGGCCTGGCCTGTTGACCTCTAGTATCCACTGAATTCTACATCAGTGCTGAATTACAGATCATGCAGGACTCCTCTTGTTTAAGAGCTCTTTCTAAGTAGTGGGTATTAAAACAGCTTTCATTCCCCCTACAGTTTCAGCTACTAGTGTGTGATGACTCAGCAACTTCATTTTGAACAATTTTTTTCCATGCCAGATTAACAGTATAGGGAAATCCGGAATTGAAAAATGGGAAGACACCTTTTCTGTGGAAGCTCTGGGATGACAGGGCAATCTTTCCTATCAATTGGCATGGGAGATAAATTTCTTTCACTTCCTTCATTATAGATTGCACGTTTTGCCAGCCTTCACTGAATGACATTATCTTTAGTCACAGTATATGCTTGTGGCTAGATGTGGCTCTGTTGTTTTGGGTGCCTCAGAGACTCCCTCAATTTTGGAAGTGCTCATCAAACCAGAAAATAAAAAGAAAACTACTGACTTTTCCTTTATAAATACCTCATGATGGTTAATAAACGTGACATACAGGTCATTGGGAATAAATGATTAATTATGTAACCTCATGTTGCCTAATGAATGAAGGAACATCTTTGACCTCGATATATGCTAAAATAATCTTGCCAAACATGGGATTCAATGTTGGTCCCTGAGATTTTACTGCCCAAGTAGCAAATGCCTCTGCCATGACCGAAGTACATAACCTTTGGGGCCATTTTGACACCTCAAATCAGACCCTTTACTGTCCTGAATGACAGCAACATCCCAAGCCAGGTTCTGTCTGCACAGCAACACGTCCCTGTAAAATTGGATCTCTTGAGACCTCCTGGGCCACAAAAGATGTGGGTCTACCTACAGCTCGTTCATCAATCAAGTACACAGAGCTTAGCAGCAATTGTGTGAGTGGGGCAGGGCCAGAATCCATCGTTTGTTGCACTAGAGAGGTAATTTTTTAAAAATCTATCAGTCCTTGAATTATGGAAGGCACAAAATAATTGGGGCTCTGGCCACAAAGCTACCCTCTTGCACTTGTCTCTGTCCTTCTTCAAGGCACCCACCGGCCCTTGGGCTCAAGGTGGTGGGCCTTTGGGTTTTAATAAAAACAAAGCAAAGCACAGTACGCCCTGCCGTCTGGAATCTGCCTACAGATAGTACAACAAGCCTATGGATTAGGTCTGCACTTCATTTTTAAGCAGAAAGTAATGACTTAAGATGAATCCCAAGGAAAACTAACAGGGTGAGTTTAGTCATATGACGGAAATATTCCGGTGAGGGAAATAGTTTCAACCTCATTTGACCCATTTGGTTAGCAATTATTGCAGGCTTTATTCAGCAGGAATAAAACTGCAGCACAAAAGGCCACAGAGTTTGGCTGGCACCCTAACAAGTTATTAAAGTGTGTGTTGAGGGGGAGAACACTTGGCTGGCTGTAGAAGCACTTTTTGCCTTATTTCTTGAATGCTTGGTGAGAGCACCTGACAGACCTTTTACCCATTTTAACAGCACAAAGCATTAGTCCAACTTTGCCATTTAAATAGGAGCTTAATGTCTTTCCACTTGGTCTTCCTTCACACATAACTGAATCTGGTAAACTCCTGGCCTGCTGGCATTAGAGCTTAATTTTCTCCCATGTAAACATCCTCATTTTCAAAGTTAAGGCATCTTTTAAAAGAGATTTTCTGACTTCATCTTCACGAGAAGCTTAAAAATAAATTTGATATCACACTTTCCTCACCCCTGCTTCGCTTCCTTGTGCTGTTAGATAGTGAAAAAGCACAGTCATGGGCTATGTATATTTTTTAAAAAGTTTTTTTTTAAAAAATTTGACCAGAACTGAGGAAAACCTGAAAAGTACTCCTACAGAAAACAAAATGGACCTTAAGTTGTGACCCCATGGACCAGATCACGCCAGGCCCTCCTGTCTTCCACTGCCTCCCGGAGTTTGGTCAAATTCATGTTGGTTGTTCGCAGACACTGTCCAACCATCTTGTCCTCTGTCGTCCCCTTCTCCTCCTGCCTTCACACTTTCCCAACATCAGGGTCTTTTCCAGGGAGACTTCTCTTCTCATGAGATGGCCAAAGTATTGGAGCCTCAGCTTCAGCATCTGTCCTTCCAGTGAGCACTCAGGGTTGATTTCCTTCAGAATGGATAGGTTTGTTCTCCTTGCAGTCCAGGAGACTCTCAAGAGTCTCCTACAGCACCACAATTCAAAAGCATCAATTCTTGGGAGGTCAGCCTTCTTTATGGTCCAGCTCTCACTTCCATACATCACTACTGGAAAAACCATAGCTTTGACTATGCGGACCTTTGTCGGCAAGGTGATGTCTCTTCTTTTTAAGATGCTGTCGAGGTTTATCATCGCTTTCCTCCCAAGAAGCAGGTGTCTTTTAATTTCGTGGCTGCTGTTACCATATGCAGTGATCATGAAGCCCAAGAAGGTAAAATCTGTCACTGCCTCCATATCTTCCCCTTCTGTTTGCCAGGAGGTGATGGGACCAGTGGCCATGATCTTAGTTTTTGTTTTGTTTTTTATGTTGAGCTTCAGACCATTTTTTGCACTCTCCTCTTTCACCCTCATTAAGAGGTTCTTTAATTCCTCCTCACTTTCTGCCATCAGAGTGGTATCATCTGCATATCGGAGGTTGTTGATATTTCTTCCGGCAATCTTAATTCCCGCTTGGGATTCCTCCAGTCCGGCCTTTTGCATGATGTATTCAGCATTTAAGTTAAATAAGCCAGGATACAATATACAGCCTTGTCGTACTCCTTTCCCAATTTTGAACCAATCAGTTGTTCCATAGCCAGTTCTAACTGTTGCTTCCTGTCCCACATATAGATTTCTCAGGAGATAGATAAGGTGGTCAGGCACTCTCATTTCTTGAAGAACTTGCCATAGTTCGCTGTGGTCCACATAGTGAAAGGCTTTTGCATAGTCAATGAAGCAGAAGTAGATGTTTTTCTGGAACTCTCTGGCTTTCTCCATAATCCAGCGCATGATAGCAATTTGGTCTCTAGTTCCTTTGCCCCTTTGAAATCCAGCTTGTACTTCTGGGAGTTCCTGGTCCACATACTGCTGAAGCCTTCCTTGTAGGATTTTGAGCATAACCTTGCCAGCGTGTGAAATGAGTGCAATTGTACGGTAGTTGAAGCATTCTTTGGCACTGCCCTTCTTTGGGATTGGGATGTAGACTGATCTTTTCCAATCCTCTGGCCACTGCTGAGTTTTCCAAACTTGCTGGCATATTGAGTGTAGCACCTTAATAGCATCGTCTTTTAAGATTTTAAATATTTCAACTGGAATGCCATCACCTACACTGGCCTTGCTGTTAGCCATGCTTTCTAAGGCCCACTTGACTTCAGTCTCCAGGATGTCTGGCTCAAGGTCAGCAACCACACCTTCTGGGTTGTCCGTGACATCCAGATCTTTCAGGTATAATTCCTCTGTGTATTCTTGCCACCTCTTCTTGATGTTTTCTGCTTCTGTAAGATTCCTTTAATAGCTCCAATTTTCTTGAAAAGATCTCTGGTTTTTCCCTTTCTATTATTTTCCTCTATATCTTTGCACTGTTCATTTAAGAAGGCCCTCTTGTCTCTCCTTGCTATTCTTTGGAAGTTTGCATTCAATTTTCTGTAACTTTCCCTATCTCCCTTGCATTTTGTCTCCCTTCTCTTCTTTGCTATTTGTAAGGCCTCGTTGGACAACCACTTTGCTTTCTTGCATTTCCTTTTCTTTGGGATGGTTTTTGTTGTTGCCTCCTGTACAATGTTACGAGCCTCCATCCAAAGTTCTTCAGGCACCCTGTCCACCAAATCTAGTTCCTTAAATCTGTTCTTCACTTCCACTGTCTATTCATAAGGGATTTATTTTAGATTATACCTGACTAACTCAGTGGTTTTTCCTATTTTCTTCAGTTTTGAAATGAAAATGGACCTAGGTGTACTAAAAATATTGCTTGCACTAACATCGTACAACTGAGATTAAACAGTCCATTTAGATCTATTTTCATCATCTTTATTTTTGATAGACACCTTTATCAGTTTTTCCTATTTTCTTCAGTTTAAGCTTGAAAATGGACCTAGGTGTACTAAAAATATTGCTTGCACTAACATCGTACAACTGAGATTAAACAGTCCATTTAGATCTATTTTCATCATCTTTATTTTTGATAGACACCTTAGTTTTATCAGTTCACCTCTGTGGTCTCCTCAGAGGCCGCAATCTCTCAAGCCCTATGTACAAGACAGCTGAGCAAGCTATCTGACAAGACTCTCACAAGTCCTCCACAGCACCCAACCCCAAACTTAGGAACACTCCCTTTTTATATACAGTAGAATCCTCTTATCCACAGGATCAGTATCCACTGATTCTCTTATCCAAAGTCTGAAAATATTAAAAATATTAAAAGAAAAAAAATCTAGAAAAAAGATTGGCCACTAGAGGGAGCCAGGCACCATGCTATAGTGTAAACACTTGTTAGTGAAGAATACATAGCATGATCTCTGGTGCCCTCTAGGGACCAGTTCTGGTAATGCAGATCTCTCTCTCTCTCTCTCTCTCTCTCTCTCTCTCTCTGTGTCTGTCTGTGTGTGTGTGTGTGTGTGTGTGTGTGTGTGTGTAGCATTTCCACAGTTTTCAGTATAGGGGGGCTTGGAACCAATTCCCAGCAGATATGGGGGTCCAACTGTACTATTTTTGGGCTGTTGCTCTGCCTATGTAACTATTCTCAAAGATTGTACACTCTCCTTTGAAAAAAAAAACTTATATGGTTTTTTTTAGTTATGCCAAAGTTGTGACTGATGTCCGAAACACAAAACAGATGAATTGTTGCGGGGGGGGGAGAGAAGGAGAGAGAAAGAGAGGGAGAAATTTGCTTGATAGGCTGAACATGCAAGAAAATGTATTTACACTATCTTGAGTTTTAGTTCTTCAACCTGCAGTGTTCCCACACACCTTTCACTCCTGCAGAGGAGTTCAATACAAACTCCTCAAAAGGTCAATTTTTATTCCAAATGACATTTGGAAAGGCACCACTAGACTAGAGAAAACTGACTCAGTACTTTGGAAGTTGTGTGGCTGAGATTCAGTGTTCCAGTTGTGCCATCCTACTGACCAGCTAGGCCTCAGATAAGTAGGGTACTGATCTAACAGTCGCTAATAGGAAGGACCAGACTGGGAAGGAGATTTGGAATTGACCTCTTTTATCAGGGAGGGATGGGAAGCTGAAAATGCAGGGAGGAAGCCAGGACAGAGCATGAAAGGCCCAAGCTAAAGATGGGATGAGTAAGCACAGGGAAAGGAAAAGGATAGGGGCAAGTGATCTGGGTAAAAAGAAGTGTAGAAAAGGTATGCAGGCACAGAGACTGCAGAATGAGATAAAGTGGACTGACAGATGATGGACCTCTTGCACAGGATTGGAAGAACCAAGACAGAGAAAGGAAGAGAAACATGGATAAACAGTTCGAGAGAGGGGGCTTTAAAAATATGCTCTTCATTATCTTTACTATGTTCCATCCACAAATGATTCTAAGCAGGACGACATTGGAAGAGGAGGTTTTCTCTCTGTGGCACACTCACACATACACCCACGTGTGTGTGTGTGTGTGTGTGTGTGTGTGAGAGAGAGAGAGAGAGAGAGAGAGAGTGAAAGAGAAAGAGAGAGAGAGCCTTGGCTGAAATGCAAAGAGAGAAAGAGAGAGAGAGAGAGAGAAAGCCTTGGCTGAAATGCAACTGAAATGACCTCTACAATTTCTTCATCATACCAATTCGTAAGTGTCCTGTCACTATACACTGTATGCTAAAAGCATGTTTAAAATGTATCTTCTCTGTGTTCTTTCCATTGGCCAAATCAAAGTCAACCTAAATACCGTGTTTCCCCAAAAGTAAGACAGGGTCTTATATTAATTTTTGCTACAAAAATTAATTAGGGCTTATTTTTTAGGGGTTGTTTTATTTTTTTCATGTACAACAACCTACATTTATTCAAATATAGTCATGTCATCTTCTGGTTGCTGCACAGTGGTTGAGTGCGGGGTTTCACTTCACTGGGGCTTATTTTTGGGGGTAGGGCTTATATTACGAGCATCATGAAAAATCATACTAGGTCTTATTTCTAGATTAGGTCTTATTTTCAGGGAAACAGAGTAGCTTGCACTCAGCACACAAATCTCCTATTGTCGCTATTTAAAGAGAGAAAGGGAGAGAGAGAGAGAGAGATCACACTCTCACAAGACTCTCTCCCTGTCACTGATGCCAGTGCTGATTGCTATGGTGATTTCCAAAATAAGGTCTGTAAATCCATTGTTATTGATTTCATAATAGTAGAGAAAGCAGGTGGTGGTGGTGGTGGTGATGAAGAACACTTTTACCCTTCTCAGTTTGGCAGCAGCTTCTCCAGAGCGGATGGCTGCCAGCAAGCTCTGGTGGATCTGTTCTGGGTCAGGGCGCTGGAGTGTCAGAGCTGTGCCTCTCCCACAGGCAGCAGTAGTTGGGTGGCCAGACAGAGAGGGAACTTGCCTCTTCTGTTCGTAGAGAGCACAATTATTTTTCTGCTGGGTAAAGAGAAAGCAAACAAGAAGTGAGGTCATGCTGCCTTCTTAAGTGCTATACCATCAATCAAGGCAAAGTTCTTAGTTTGTGAACAATTAGACATTCCTTTTTAAGAAGTAATTAGTTACAGTTATCACCCAACCTTTGCAAAAGTAATTAGCTTCGTGCGGCCTCTATGCTGGACACTTTTAAGAGACAACTAAAGACGTGGCTATACGTTCAGGCTTTCCCTCCTGTCAATACTTAATTTCTTTTTCTTTTCTCATTTTTTTGTTTAATTACTGCATGTGTCACAGTTTGTCTGTTAAACTTTTATGGTTTATTGTATATTTTTTATTGTAAGCCGCCCAGAGTGGTCGACCAGACCAGATGGGCGGGATATAAATCAAATAAATAAATAAATAAATAGCTATCACACTAGCTGCAATTTTTTTAAAAAGTCACTCTTCGCTTTCCAGTGTTTCAGAAGAAACTAAAATAGCTAACATTTTACCTATCCTTAAAGAAACATCTGAAAGCGACAGGCCACCAGCCTGCGGCAATAAACACTTTCCTGCCATCCACTTTTGTTGTTGCCTTAGCATCCTCAACATAGTACAATTCAGCAGTACGTCTCAAGGCGTAGCAGGAACAGCGCTTGACCCATGTGATATTTATTCTCTATCCTTTGCTAAGGCCACATTTCTATAAAGTTATTGTTATGTTGCAAATGGCATAAAAATTATCCAATGCTTAAGCTAAAATTGTAATGTATTGTAGTTATGTAACTTGTTTATTAGGAAAGGGAATTAGTTACAATCAACTAGTTATTTGCAATAATATATTTCCAAATGCTGAACAACCTTGCTGAGTCTTGTTACCTCAAAATCAAATTATTTACTAAAAAGCTTATATGCCACCCTGATAGCACTTAAAGCAGTCTTTGGGCAGTTTACAATTTAATTATTGTAAGGCAGCGAGGCGGGCTACTCATTGCCTTTCCCCCAGCGGCAGTTTACAATTTAATTATTGTAAGGCAGTGAGGCAGGCTAATCATTGCCTTTCCCCCAGCAAACTGGGTACTCAATTTATCAAGCTCAGAAGGCTGGAAGAAAGGGTCAATCTCAAGCCGGCTGGACTGAGCCCAGAATCAAACTCAGGTTGCAAGCAGAGTCTTCACTGCAGAACTGCAGTTTAACCAATGTATCACAAGACTCCTTTACTGAGACTTAAACTTTTATGGACCAAATCCACTTTCATCATGCCATAATAATATTTTTTTTTAAAATCATCTTTAAGGTGCTTCTGCAAAAGATTAACTTAGACATTAATCTCCATTTGGAAGTCAAACACTGCTATTTTCTTTTGCAAGCAGTATGGTGTACTGACTGTCCCCTTCCCCTTACCAGTAAAAATGACAGCATGAGGATTAGTTGGTATTTTTAAATAAATACACAATGGCTTATTGGTTGGGGGTTTGATTTCTCACTGTGCCTTTTATGAGTCCAGCCAGCCTGGTTGGTCTTGGGCAACCTGCACAGTCCCAGGGAAGGGTAAACCACTCCTGAATCTTTTCTACCTGGAAAACCCTGAAAAGGGTCCCCATAAGTCAGGACAGGCATGGTGGCACTTGGTTAATATTATTATTGGTAGGGTTTTACCTTGTCTGGCACGCTCGGTTGCGCTTCCGTGGCTGGGCTTGGCAGAGGAGAATGGCCTTTTATTTCAGTGGTGGAGACGGATGAGGAGATATTAAGAGAGGCTTGTTCTTTTAATGGCCTGGTTGTACTGGTATATGTTTTACTGAATGACTGTGACCTCTTAACTGCCGATGACACGGCAAGAGCAAAAGGCGAAGGCCTGGTACTTGAATATGGTTGTGGCAAAACAAAAGTCCTCAAAGTTTTCAGATTTAATGGAGGAGGCTGCGAGGTGGGAGAACTCAGAGACATAGGCCTTTTCACTGGAGAAGTGGTGATTTCTGTTTTTTCGGCACTGTGGCCATTTTCAGTACTTTCTTTGACTACCTGAGAAGGACCATCAACTGTCCTAGGAAATGGAAAAGAAGTTTGTTCTGGTGATGCCAACTTCTTTTCTGTTTCTATACTCTTAGCTTCACTCGGAGTAGAGCTACTGACAGAGTTACTTCTTGCAATTGCTGACGTTACGTAATGGCCAGAAGCCCTCCTTTGCATCTGCAAATAAAAACTGCTTGGCTTTGGTGGAGGACTTAAGACACTTGACTTTTCTTGCACTGCAGGAGGTGAAAAGCTTTTGTGTTCTGTGCTTAGCTCCGAGGGGGCTCTTAGAGGGTCCGGATTAGGCTTGGAATGTTCTGCTTCCATTCTCTTGCCTTCGGCATTTGAGAAAGACATTGTGCTTTTATCAACAACACCATACGTTTTAGCTAGTGGGTCATTCCCGGGCAATGTAACCTCACTTCTCAAGCTGGGTCCTGTCTGATTTGAACTTTTCCAATGACCATGAATTTCTGTTTGTGTACCAAATTCTTGAGAATGTTCATTCTTAGGCGGCATGTGCAAAGAGGCTGCGTCTGGGTTCTCTATATGATCTGATTCCCAGTTCTTGACTATTTCCAGAGATTTTGGAGGCACTATTTTGTAAGTAGTCATTCCAACTTTAGGTATGTAGTCTCTTGTGATCTCATTTGACGGCTTAGGCTTAGGCTTCGAGTCTTGTCGATAAAGAGGGTAGCCCTTTGTGGGAGAACTAAGAGGACTTTTCACAAGCCTTTGTGGCACATCCTGCTCATCATTAGCAAATGTGTTACTCTGGTTGCCATTGGGACTTGCTCTGTCATGAACAGCTTGCTGCCCTTTATGGTTAAGCTCTGTCAAACTTCCCGTGGTTTCATGCACCTTGTTGGGGAATCCTGAAGGCTGGTTTTCCACCACTGATTTTTGCAAGTGAGTTGAACCTTGATGGATAATTAGTTTGTAGCCCTGAGGATCAGTCTCCTCACTAGAGGCAGTCTGGCCTAAATAACATTCAGGTGGACCTGTCTGAATTGCAACATCTTGAGTCTTTGTCGTCTCCAGGTCAGACTGATCCCATTTTTGATTGTGCGCTCCTAGAAGCGGTTGAGGGCTGTGCCTCTGATTTAGAGAAGCATTATCTTCATGGCCCTGGTAGTTCAAAGCTTCAAGATTGCTTCTGTCTGTCCCTCCTACCACACTGATTTTTCCTTCTTCTGTCACTGTGGGAGGGAATTTCGCATCACTGTGACCTTTTTTTAAAAAGGCAAGGACAATTTAAAAGTTAACATTGTGGTCAAATACCTGGTTGAACCATTAATCTATTTATTTTCATTTAAACAAATAGCAAATAGTGCCACTGCGACTATCCACTCACTGCGCAATGATTTTGTATACAGCTTTCATTCTGCTGTTTCACAGCTGACGCACAATATATTAGTGTGCAAGTGTTTTGTGTGGGGGTTTTTAAGAACTAAAAATACAGATACCAACTTCTCTAGATGGGAAAATGCAGCCACTTGTTTCTATACTTTTAAATAACTATAAGGCTCAATAAGCTTATTTGGTGTTCACAGAATCATTGCTGGAAAATCCCCTTATATGAGCAATTCACACAGCAGGATTTGCACAGTCATCAGAAGTATTGCAGAGATTCTCCTGTGACTTTAAATATATCTTGCAACTGAAATGACTGTAAAGGAGAAGAAACTCACCACTGTTTGTATTCAAGTGCTGTGCTCCAAGTGGCTTGCCACTGTCGAATGCAACTTTCTCCACACAAACCTGATTGTGCTGATCTCTGCAAAACATAATCAGTAACACCAAAATAGGCTGCTATCATTAAGGAGATAAAAGAAATGCCAAGGCTCTCAGAAAAATCTGGGCTAAATAAAGCATCTCCCACATCCTGAAAACTAGACCCAGGCCAAGGAGTTCATGCTACCAGCTCCAGAGGGAAGAACAAGGCATCTTGTGACACCTTAAGAACTGCTGGATAGCTCAGTGGTTTAGGTCTCTGGCTGCAGAGCCGGAGATTGGGAGTTTGATTCCCTGCTAGGTTCCTTGACAGGGGATGGACTTGATGATCCGTAGGGTCCCTCCTAGCTCTGCAGGCCTAAGATTATTATTCTAGGTTTAAAGATCAATGAATGGATCATGGTATAATTGTTGAATGGACTAAATCTATCCTAAACTGGTACAGATAGAGATGAAAAAATATATATGTACTGAGGCCTGAGAACAAAAGAGCACAAAATACAAGCAAAGAAACAGTGTTCGGCCTTAAGCACATATGAAATACTGTAGCTATAGCAAGCATTCAGTGTTGATGAAACTTGGTATTTATCAGCTAATTACTTTGCACTGTGGGATTTAAAAAATTGTTATCCCAGCTCTGGACACATGTAGCAGAATTTAAATTCGTGGCAAGCTGTAATTCAACAGTTTCATCTTTGAGCTTCTCTCTGAAGTTTCTTTGTTTAGCTCTTGAAGAGAACATCAATGGTCTGAGGAAATGATCTGAGGAAACAGGAGAAAGGGGTGTATCCCTTCCTTGCAGCAACAAGACCTCTGTGCCGGGAGGAAAGGAAGAACCCCAGGCTAGAGAACGTGTGCTATCCTGAAGCATCATCTGTCAGTTTGAGAGAAATCTGTTGCTATATACGTTGTAACACTTGCTGTTTTAGTATTTTAAGCAGTAAAGTGCCTTAAGTTGTGTGCCATTACAGAGGGGCAGCATTTAAATACAAGAATCTAATAAAACCTGGAACTAGAGGATAGTACCTTTGTCAAGCTTATGGAATCTCAAAAAGAAATACTGCTTCGTATATACACCCTTAGAGGGACGTGGTGGCGCTGCGGGCTAAACCGCAGAAGCCTGTGCTGCAGGGTCAGAAGACCAAGCAGTCGTAAGATCGAATCCACGCGACGGAGTGAGCACCCGTCACTTGTCCCAGCTCCCGCCAACCTAGTGGTTCGAAAGCATGCAAATGCGAGTAGATTAATAGGGACCACCTCGGTGGGAAGGTAACAGCGTTCCGTGTCTAAGCCGCACTGGCCATGTGACCACGGAAGATTGTCTTCGGACAAACGCTGGCTCTATGGCTTGGGAACGAGGATGAGCACCGCCCCCTAGAGTCGAACACGACTGGACAAAAAGTGTCAAGAGGAACCTTTACCTTATATACACTCAACACATTGGCTGTTGCTTCGCATAGTAAGTCGCAACTACAGTAAGCTCACAGAATCAGTGGGGTTTGGTGAGTCGACTTCTCCATAGATTCCACTAATTCAAATGGATGTACTCCAGTTGAAACTTTCTATGCCAAAGTAAGTGGCAGCTAAAGAAGGCCTGCCTGAAACAATGAGATGGAGGAGTTTGCCTAACCCAGTGGATTGGTTGGGGGGGCATGGCACACTCGCAAGGCCCTGCTCGCACACATGCGCATGTTGCACTCACAGGGGGCATGCGAGTGCGTGCATGCACGGGGGGCTCTTGTGGGGAGGGAGGAGATCTCTGTCTGCGGCCCGGTCCTGCCTAGGCTGTGGACTGCTGCCAGGTTGCAGACCGGGGGTTGGGGACCCCTGGCCTAACCCATTCAATGGGCCTATTCTAGTTGCGACTTATTACACAAAGCAATGAGATTTCAGCCACTGCTTTGTTCTTTGCGCCAGTGGTACATTTACTTCACCCCAGTGTTCTGATTACGTACAGAAATGACACCACAGTGAGCAGGACCACCTCGTAGCCCCACAAATTTGACCAGCAACCTGTTCTTCTTCCAGCATCTACTGTACTATACATTGATATTATCAGGTAGAATAAATGACTGAGGTTTTCCCACAAACCACCTATAGTGCTGCCAGTGTAATGCACTTACTTATCCTCGGCACTCATATTTTCTGGTTTTAATCCACTTGAATCACATACATTCTCTTCAGTACCCATGCCAGGACTTGAAGCCAAAGGAGGAGGCTCATTTTTTTTAGCATCTAGAGGGACATCAGGATCAGCGGAGGTGGAAGCCTGTTGAGTAGCAGCAAAGGGGTCTGCACTTTCTTCATGTAGTATTTCTTCTTTCTCATCTATCTCCTCTAGACTATATTCAGAGCCAATGTCAGCTGCATGCCCAAGAAAAGCACAAGATGCAATATTAAGAAATGATAAGTCAGTGAAAGTAGATCATAAAAGAGAAAAGACAAAGACTATTACAGCTTGCTTACTGGTGAGTTCATAGTGGGGGAGGAGGGGAATTTGAAACTGTAATTTAAAATGCTGACAGATGACAGCGCACATCAATTGCTGCTGCTATGTGTCATTAAGGCGGAACTGACCTATAGTGACCCTAATAGGGCTTTCCAGGTAAGTATGATATTTAAGGAGTGGTCTTGCCAGTTCCACTCCCCCAGTGAATTTCCATGGCTGAGTGGGGATTCAAACCCTGGCCTTCTGAGTCCTAGTCCATCATTATATCTACTACACCACACTGGGTATCACAGATCAACTAGGAAGATGCAAAATGAAATGGTGGGCTTTATTCTTTTTAAGTCAAAATTAAAGCATCTACGGAGGCTTCTATGGACAGAGGGAGACAACTTTGCAAAAAAAAAAAAAAAAAGGAAACACCTCTATAATGATGTTCTCTCCAGTAATTATCCATAAATAGAAAGTGAATTCATAGGAACAAAAAGAAAAAGAATCAGATCTATTGCTGTATCTCACAATTATCTACAATGACTGCCAGCAGCTTTCCAGGGTTTCAAATAGTAATTTTTCATACTCCCCCACCCCAACCTTCAGATCACAGGGCCTGAACTTGGGACCTTGTGCATGCAAAACAGATGGTCTGCCAATATACTGCTGCCTTTTACAAGTCATCAACAGTTCCCACTGCATTATTACTATTTTCTACACTATTTCATATTCATAATACATTTGATGAAACTCATGGAGGATTCTAACAACACAAACATATTTTTTTTACTTCTGCAAAACAGATGGTCTGCCAATATACTGCTGCCTTTTACAAGTCATCAACAGTTCCCACTGCATTATTACTATTTTCTACACTATTTCATATTCATAATGCATTTGATGAAACTCATGGAGGATTCTAACAACACAAACATATTTTTTTTACTTCTATGCCGCCCACTCTACCCAGAAGTCTCTGGGTGGCTTACTACAATTAAAATTCAATACAATAAATGATAAAATGATTAAAATACAATTAAAATACAATTAAAATACAATTAAAATACAATTAAAATTGCCACCAGACCCATAGCTAATATTATTTCAATTAAAAGCCTTCTGGAACAGGAAGGTTTTGACCTGGCGCCGAAATGTTATCAGCGTCGGCGCCAGACGAATCTCAGTCGGGAGGGCATTCCATAGTCTGGGGGCAGCTGCCGAAAAGACCCTTTGTCTGCAAGCCGTCCCTCTTATCTCCTTAAGGGACGGCTCTTTCAAAAGGGCCCCCTGGCTAGATCTTAACTGCCGGGTAGGTTCATATGGAAGGAGGCGGTCCTTCAGGTATCCAGGGTCTAAGCCGTTTAGGGCTTTATATGTCAAAACAAGCACTTTGAATTGGGCCCGGGCAGCAACTAGTAATCAGTGTAAATTAAACAGAATCGGCTTGATGTGATCTCTAGCGGCCCCACCACTCACCAGCCGTGCGGCTCAATTCTGGACCAGTTGCAGTCGCCGGACTATCTTCAAAGGCAGCGCCACGTAGAACACATTGCAATAATCTATACGAGATGTTACCAGTGCGTGTGTAACTGTCATGAGACTCCGCTCGTCCAGGTAGGGCCGTACCTGGTATAATTTCCGCAGCTGAAGGAAGGCGCCTCTGGCCACCAAGTCCACCTGGGCTTCCAAAGTTAGACTGGGGTCCAGGAGCACCCCCAGGCTGCAGACCCTGTCCCTTAGGGGGAGTGTAACCCCATTC